TCTAATAATCTCTATGTTCAATCAACTCACATCATACTCTTCATCTCATTGCTGGGTGGTATACTGGAAAGCCACATAGGTTTCCCTTTAGAGAGCCTTGATCATAGATATAAAAAATAGTGTCATCTTCTGAACATATTCAAACTAAAACCTTCTACAGTTTCTTTCCTCAAGAGGCAAGTCTTTGACAGCTTATCAGCCATCCCATTAAAGGAAAGTAAGACTGCAGATTCAATCAAATAAAAGGTAAAAATCCAAATCCCAATATGTTGGTCTTTTTCTTTTTATTTTCGGGGGTCGGGTCTTTCCCCTTTTGTTACCGCCCATTCAACCTCTCTTAAATATCATGCTAGATATCAAAGCATTAGCGGTCCCAACTGAAGCAGACAACACGGAACAGAAAATTCTGGGTGCGTTTATTTGGAAGATTCCGCATAGGCTAGGCCCTTGCACAATTGAGTGCCGTTCGTGTGGCGCATTGCATTGGATGGAAGAATCAGCCATCGTGGACCGGAAACTCCTCAACATCAGTTTCTCCAGTTGTTGTCAAAAGGATAAAGTAACACTGCCTGTTGTGGATGATAGTTACCCCGGATATCCTCTCTCGCTGCAGTCTCTGTTCATGGGCGAAACGGAAGGTGAGCTGCCTTTGCCAATCTGTTGTCGAGGCAAGCTGTGTATAACACTAACTGAATGTTCATTTAGAGTCCCAAAACTTCTTAGATCTCATTAGAATGTATAACAATTCAATCAGCTTCACTTCGCTGGGTGTGAAGGTTGATTCCACTGTTCAAGGCCAAAAAGGAATCTACGTTTTCAGGATCAACGGCGGCCTTACACACCGGATTTCCAGTATTGAGCCAGTCGAGGGCAGCGAGCCAGCATACGCACAAATCTTTGTGGTGGGCAAAGGGGGGACCGAAGAAGCAGAATTGCGGATGAATAAAGCTCAAGGCAAAGGTGGGGCTAGAGGAAGAGGGAGTAGGCTCAGCGTGAAGACTATCAAAAGACTGGTTGAGTTCCTGGACAGTTACAATCCTTACGCGGTGTTGTACAGGTGTGCACAAGAGGTCCTTCAGCAAACGAACGCCAAAACTTTAGCACTTCAAGGGGTTCAACACCCAAGTGGAGATCCCAAACGGTACAATCAGCCTTCTGTTGACGAGATTGCCGTGGTAATTCACGGTGATGGTGATACAATCGGGGAACGACAGATTGTCCTTCACCGTAACGATGGGCTACTTGACATCATTTCGGACGTCCATTCATCTTACTTCCCATTGAGATATCCATTGTTCTTTCCTTATGGCTCTCAGCAATGGGACAACCTGTATCAAGCGTGGACCGGACGTGGTAAGTGATATGATCCCCAACCTTTGGGTAATAATAATATACTAACTCCTTGTTGTCAGTTAATGGCAGAAAGGTTGGCTCTTTGGAATGGTTTGCATTCCTCCTGTTTGAGCGCAAAGAAGACTTCTCCCCGATTCTAGCCGGGAGGTCGCTGTTCCAAGAATTATTGGTGGACATGTACGTTGTTGTCGAAAGATCCCGCCTCCGATTTATCACTTTCAACCAAGGAAAATTGAAGGCAGCCCAGTATGACAAGTTGGTATCGTTGATCGATGGAGTTGCGCCCAGTTGTGGAAGGCGAATCATCCTACCTTCGTCATTCATTGGGAGCCCCCGGTACATGCGCCAACTATACCAGGATTCAATGGCTATTTGTCGGAGATACGGCCCGCCTTCGCTTTTTCTAACAATGACAGCAAATCCGCGGTGGAAGGAGATTCAGGACCTACTGAAGCCAGGCCAGAAAGCTTACGATAATCCAACAGTTGTCGCTCGAGTATTCCGCCTTAAGTCAAGGGAGCTGCTGCATCAACTTGTAAAGCTTAACCGTCTCGGGAAGGTTATTGCTTATGTTTCAACGATTGAGTTCCAGAAGAGGGGTCTTCCCCACATTCACCTCATGTTGACACTGGACGAGAAGGACAGGCCCATTACTCCAGAGAAAATCGATTTGTTGGTCAACGCCGAAATCCCGAATAAAGAAGAAGAGCCTAAACTCCACTCATTAATCTCAGATTTCATGCTCCATGGGCCTTGCAATGGAAGAGCTTGCCGGACAGAGAAAGGCTGTCGCCTTGGCTTTCCGAAACCACTCACACCAAGGACAGTCACAGTGGACGGCACATACCCTATCTACAGACGAAGGGAAAATGGACCTACCATTCAAAAATTCACCACACAGTTCAATAATGGTTCTGTAGTTCCATTCAACAAATACCTCTCACTGATGTTCGAATGCCACATAAACGTCGAAGTGCCGGTCAGCTCATCAGCAATCAAGTACCTCTACAAGTATATAACTAAAGGACACGATCGGTCTTATCTCAAGATTCAGGAGGAAGATGAAACAAAAGCTTTTGTTGATGCCCGGTATATTTCTCCCCCAGAAGGTGAGTTTTGATTGCAGTATTCAGTTGGACTTCTACTGACATTGGTTGTGAATATTTGAAGCTGCTTGGCGTCTGTTGAAATTTCCACTCTCCGAACAATATCCCGCCGTCACGAGGTTAGCACTTCATGAAGATAATGAACAACTTGTTTACTTCGACAGTGAGGAATCGGCTGTTGGTCAAATCAAATCACGAAGTGCAGAGAACACCATGTTGACAGAATTTTTCCGCTTGAATGCGGAGGATGGACGGGGCGCAGATGGCCGAAGTGCTCGGACCTTATTTTACGAGAATATTCCGGCTTACTTTTCGTGGAGCAGAAGTGAAAAGAAATCGAAGGCACGGAAGACTAAATCTGAAGCCGTGGGTCGGATCTATGGAATCTCATATCTCGCGGGCGAACTTTGCTCCTTCACCGGAAGAATATCATCTCTCATGAAGATCTCAAAACAGTAGGAAATCGTATTGCAGGCTTGTATCAAGAAGCATGCAACTGGCTAGGGCTGCTGGTGGACGATACGCTGTACCATGCGACTTTAAACGAAGCGAGTTTTGTGAGCTCAGGTTTTCAATTAAGTCAACTATTTGCTATGATATGCGTTCATACCCCTCCGTCCGCTCCAATGCAACTCTTCGAAGACCATTATGAAAATATGACCGACGACATCGTAAGGGTTGATATGAAATTTCGGGATAGCAAGACTCTAACACTGGATGAAAGGCGTCTACTGGGTCTTGCAAGAATAGATTCGATGTTACATGAGTTGGGTAGCAATCTTCAAAGGTGTGGTCTCGTCACTTCAGCGGAGGAATCATCTATCTTGATGAATATTTGTGGAAATGAACCAATCATCAAATCGATTGAGCTCATCAGGGATCGGTTAGTTGCCAGCCTGGCAAGATTTAATGAAGATCAGCTATATATCTACACACAAGTCAAACGGTGCCTAATGGCGAAGAAGGGCCAACTCTTCTACATTGACGGTCCTGGGGGTACAGGGAAAACGTATCTCCTGAGCTCAATTATTGACCTAGCGGACTCTAACGCTATAACTCGGATGGTAGTGGCCTCCTCAGGAGTGGCGGCACTTCTCTTGAAGGGCGGAATGACAGCCCACTTGGCTTTCAAGATACCAATCGACTGTGAGGCTAATGTTGAATGCGGAATTGAAGATAACACCCTGGCTAGCAAGACATTGATTGAGTGCCAACTAATAATCTGGGACGAAGTGGTCACGATTCACAAAAATTCGATTGAAGCGGTAGACCGGACGTTGAGGCGTATGTGTAACTCTCCGCTTCCGTTCGGAGGAAAGGTTGTAATTTTTGCGGGGGACTTCAGACAAATTCTCCCGGTGGTTAAGTTTGGAGAATTCCCATTATCCTGTGAATCAACGCTCAAGTCATCTTTCATCTGGAAAAAGATTGTACAACTTAAATTGAGGCACAACATGCGACTTTACACACAAGCAACAGGAAAAGAAGCAAAGCGAAACCGGGCTTTTGCCAGAGCATTACTAGGAATCGGGGAGGGAAGAAACAACACTCAGGAGAATGATGTGATCAAGCCAAAACATCTTCACATAATGAGCTTTTCTACTGCCCAGGAGAGCCGTAAAGCACTAATAAATTTTGTCTACGAACACCTTGCAACCTATGCAGCTCGACCACCTTCCGAAAATGCAGATTACCTGCAGGATCGGTGCATTCTGGCACCTCTAATCAAGGATGTACAGATCTTGAATGATGAAATAACTGCAAGTTTGCCGGGTATAGGTTTCATGTCAAAGTCAATTGATATTCCGGACCCTGAAGGATGGAACAGTCTACCAGAAGAATGCTTAAATACACTATCACCACCTGGCCTACCAGAGCATCAAATTCTACTGAAAGTCGGCATGCCTATTGTTATCATTAGAAATCTTTATATCGCAAGGGGAGTGTGTAATGGATCGAGGATGATTGTCAAAGAGTTTGGGGAAGGATTCATCTTGGGGGAATTGATGTCAGGTCCGTGCAAGGGCGAGGAGATACTAATTCCAAAAATAAAGCTACAGAATAAGAGCAAGTCTGCGGATGGATACAGTTTTTTCCGGTACCAATTTCCAGTCCGTCCAGCTTATGCGATGTCGATCAACAAGTCTCAAGGTCAAACATTGGCATGTGTTGGAGTACTGTTGGAGACTGATTGCTTTGCCCACGGCCAACTTTATGTTGCCCTTTCAAGAGTATCAAATGTAAGCAACCTCTTGGTAGCAAAACCTGATGTGAGGATGGGTGTATTAAATGTTGTGCAGAAGTCCATATTCCTTTTGTAATACTCCACTGTTTGTATATATTAACAACCACTTGTGACTTGTGACTTTACTGTAAAAAATTAATTCTTCTTGGGCGTGCAATGTTGGGAATCAGTTAATTCCAAATAACCTGAAGTGAGTGGTCATTATCATCCAGGTATAGCTGCTGGGAATATAACCACCAACCAAATTGTGGGCTGTTGCAGGGTTGGGTGGTGGTGTATAGGTATAGTTGGAGGGCTGCTTAGTACTTGGGGGGCGCTGCGAGGGGGGGAAGTGGGTTAAGAAGGATGGGGTTTGTTCGAAGGGGTGCAGCGGCGAAGCCGCCCTGGCCTCTAGTATTATTAAGAAAATCAAAGTTCAGTGGGGTCCCAGTTGGTACCAGCAACCAGTTTGTTTTGGGTGTCTGCAATTTTGACCATCCAGAATCTAGAATTTGGATGCTACATACATATTTCAAAATTGGAAATGATGTATCTGAAAGCCTGTCAGTCCGCCAGACCAATGCCTGGCTCTCTCAAGGCCCATCATTGTGCAGGGGATACCACCAAACCCTCCAGGCCCTCCCTGCAAAGTTAGGGTTAGAGGTGTGTGCCACCCCACCTTTTTGGAAAAAAGTGCGCACCCCCGGGGTGCGCACTTTGGCGCACACCAGGGGGTAGCGCCAACAACCCTAGTTGGGAGTTGTTGGCAAAGAAAAAGGGAGTCATTTTTCCAAGCCCCTAAGTTTTATCACTTTTTTTTTGAATCTTTGGCAAATAAAAATACTAACAAATTTCTGGTAGTTTGTTTTTTCCAGTGGGCTCTCAGGCTAAACACAAGGGTTGCTTGGATTAATTTGGCTTCTCCCAGCTACCAAAACCTGGGTTTATGGTTGGGGAACCATAAAGCACAACTTGTCTGGTCAATGTCCAGACTCCACAGGCTGTGGCAGGAAGTTGGATTAATCAATTCTGTTCTTTTTTTCAGTAATGAATATGAAAGGAGTGGACAGCAGTGAAGATAGCCCCATGGGAATTGGGTATCGGTTGCTTTTTAGCCAAGAACCCTGCAACAGGTACTGCACCCACAACTGTATGGCAGGTACTGTCAGTACTTTGGATGGGTACTACAGCTGCTTAGCACCAAAAATGCATTTTAAAGAATATTTTCTTTTCATTCCTTACTAACTAACAATATCACAAGTCCCAAGGACACCCTCATGATCTGGAAACTCAATCTTCATCAAGTACTATACCTTTTCTCTTACCTTTCTCCTGCACATTATCTTCTTTGATTCTGTGTTTCTGCCAAGCCAAAACAACCTCTTGGATCATGTTGTTTTGGGAATAGAAAGCAAAAGTCATGCCCCTGCTTAAAGATTTAGCAGCAAGCCTGTGCCTCTTCAATTCCACTGCCATGTAGTTGTTTCCGAAACTGAAAGCTTGCTCAACATAATAGATGTTGCTAGAAATTTGAGAAGGGTTGTGGGTCAGTTCAGGCAAGCAAATATATTAGTGGTATTGAGTTCCACTTGAGTAACCCACCTGGACAGCTTAAAATGTCTAGATGAGGGTGTGTGTTTCCTGCTTGATTATGCTGGACCCACCACTCCAAAAGAATCACCAGATTGCCATCTTTGAGGATAAGTCCACCAGCAAGCCATGTGTTGTAAGTGCTGGACAGCTCAGATGCTGTCCAGAATGGTGTCCATGGGGCATCAGACTTGTCCTGTGGTGTAAAGGAACTGCTCCTCGGTCTCCTGGGAACAAACACTTTAACACCTCGGCTGGCCGCCATGAATGCCCATAAATCCCCGCGGACTGTGTCTTGCGCATACATAGTCGGAAGTCCGTCGGATTGGTCTTCCTTTTAACTCAGTTTGGCAGCTAGGAACCTCAACCAACCAGCAATTGTGATTTGACGGTGTTATTTGTTTGTACGGGCCCAGGAATCCGTCCATCTTCATCGTTTTTTTTTGTGCTAATCGTTCAGAACTTATTTACATCCAGATTAAAGAAAAGAAAGACAAAAGAAGACATTCATCGAACCCTGGTTTCTCTTCCACACAAGCGTAACTTGCCGGCAAGATCAGAAGCTCGTCAGCTCCTTCTATGTGAGAATAAAGTCGCAGGATTGCGACCGACATGTTCAATCGAAAACTTTCTCATTGTCTTGCGAGTTTATGAGCGCCGATTGGTGAAGACTTCTTTCGGACTAGCAGAAGTAGGGATTTGATTGGGCTCATCAAGTGTGTATTCTTTGATCAGAGAGAGAGGGAGAGATAGTCCTCAAAGCCCGAAGATAGTCAGCACTATAATAAGACTAGCACTGATGAAAGGCTGATCTGGACGAAGCTGTCTTGACTGCAGAGAAGAGCAGGAATACAACATCTTTGCAGACATTTTATTACCCTTTTTTTTGCGTGTTGTACTACTCAGCTCGACAATGCTTATCTTGAGGGATATGCGTGTTCAAGCTTGGCTGAGTGCTGCCCGCGGTGGCTCGAGTGAGCTGAGAAAATTTGCGTGGATCGCTGGTCTTATAAGCTCAGTCCGTTTGACTCGAACACTCCCAAAGCTTTCTTGCTGGAACACTTCATCCATAACTTGTTATCCTCTTCAACGTTTTTTTTTTCTTTCAATTTTCTTCGGAGACCATATAACTACAACTTGTTGTTTGATATAATTATTGAAAGACCGTATCCTCGTCGATCAGGTGATTTTTCCTAACAACCAAGGACATTCGAGTTTCATCAAACACATCGCAAGGAAGGAGTTTTCTTTATTCGCTGCATCTTGATTTCGGAAGCACTCGCAGTTTCCACGCTCGAGTCCCCTTCATCACCCACCAACAAACAGCGCCCCATTCCCAACCACAAAAAACTTGTTATTACTATCCAGGCTCAAAGAAGAGCCCTACCTCCCTGAAAATGAATCCATCCTGCCCACAACCGCTCGTCCCACCGCCAGCCGTTCTCCCGGAAGCCTCACCCACCCCTTCGGCCGGTCTCTACAACTTTGAAGATGGCTACGACTACATCTCGGAACCCAATGAGAACCTGGTCTGTCCAATCTGCAGGTAAGACGAAAAACTTCTCTCCTCTAATATCATATATCTCTGCTCTGCCCCCCCCCCCCCCACCAACTAAATCACGAAGGTGACAGCATTTACTGCCAGTTCTGCCTCTCCTTGCCTTGACAAACACGCATACATTCCAAAGCAATGTTTTATTTGAAGGGGATTGATTGGCTGTTTACTTAGTGATTCATTTTATATATCGCATGATAGAAGTGCCAAACTCTGACCTCTCCGCTGCTTCTGAACTTGTTTGGGTGATGAAAATAAATTCCATAGGAACCCGTTTATAGAGCCAGTGATGTGTGAATCAACCGACCACATCTTCTGTCAGTCAGTAAGTGAATAGCCAGTCTTATATTATTTTTGTACAACCACCTTCCTGTCAAAAGCCGGCCGGTGCCTCATGCACCACTCCAACCAGAGTAACAAAAACAACAAATACTCGCGCTTACCCGCCATTTTACGATTTTAGTGTCTGATCAAGTCCTTGGAGGTTTCTGCAACTTGTCCTATCGACCGTCTGCCGCTATCGCTCTCGTTGATTGTCCCGGCCCCCAAGATCATCAACAAGCTGGTAGACGAACTCCTAGTCTCTTGCCCCTTCAAGGCTAAACTAGGCTGTTCGTTCGTCTGTCAACGCGACCTCATCCAAACCCACGTCCACTCCCATCAGGCTCAACTTGATCAACTAGCTTCTGATGAATCCCTCTATCCACAAGTACATGGGTCCTCCCAGAATGCCCCCTTGTTGGATTCAACTGTTTTTCAAAGATCACGGCTTGGACTTACCTCCCCGAAGTCTTGTCTCTTGCGCTTTCAATGGCTCGAGAATCGCGCAACCCTGGTTTCCAAACCCCAGAGTCAAATCCAGACAGTCAGCCCCCATCCCCACTCATGTCAACACAGCATCCACTGATCTTGGCTGTTTTGTGCTCTAGGACTCAGGACCTGATTCAACGAGCAATCAACCCAAGTTGAGTCCTTGTCCATTCGAGAGATTCGGATGTTCGTTCATGGGCACACCTGAAGCAATAACCCAACAACATCTGTCTGTTACTTCGGACTCGACTATCTCGGCCGATGAGCCCCGTTGTCAGTTTGCTTCTATGCAAGAGGTCCTCCATTGGTTTGAACACTTGGAGGCAAGGAACGCTGAGCTGAAAGTGCAGCTCTCACAGTCCTTGGTTCAGCAGGGTCAACTCACTTCCGTCCTCGACAAACTCAAGATCAGTTTCCGACAACTGTGGCGTTCCCAGCAGTCTGGCGGCACCCATTCACCTCTGACCACGGTCGCCGCCTCTGGTCCTGGGTCTCTACATCGGGCCTCGATCCTGTCCCGACTGGAGATCCCAGATCACTGTGCATCGTCAGAGGTACCGTCTCCCGGACACTCAACGGAGGCCAGTCCGATCCATCACTCGAGTGATGATCCGTCCTCGACCAGCGGCTCCCGGATGGCATATGCCCTCAACGGGGCCCGTCTCCGGCGTTGCGATGATCATCCAAGCTCAGCCGTCTGCACTGGCAGGTGTGCCCAGTTTTACAGTCCCATCGGCTCGCCTGCAAAGCTTAAAGTCCGGGTCAAGACCTTCCTCAGACGCGGCGAAGTGCTCACCCCAGCTTCCGAGGATCTGCATCACGAGCTTCCGACCGCTCCTATCGCCGCCGACCAGCTTCCCCACCCCGCTAAAATTGCCCCTTCGGCTGGTCCGGCTAGCCTCTCCAGTTCTCATTCTAGTCTTCACTCTCATTCCAGCTCCGCCTCCGGCCCAGTCTCCGACTTGCACCCTGACACTGATGACCCCGCGAAGCGAACCTCATGGTGGTAGTACTCATCATCTTGTCTGACTGTCCTCCCGCGTATAAGAACCCTTCCCTCCCCGTTTCTCGTTCTTTCTCTTTCTCTCTCTCTCCGTCTCTCGCTCTTGTCTCTTCAATAATCCCCTCCCTCTACCTCCCTTCTTGACTTCCTCTTGGAACGGGATATCTTACTCAAGAAAGATTTCGATCTTGAAGTTATCCTCCGTCTTGTCTCGTGTCTTTCTCCTTTCCCGTTTTTTCCTTTTCGTTTTCGTTTTTGTGCTTGTATTCTTTTGAGATAAGTTAGGCAACAAAGAGCATAGTGTTGAATCAGCTTGTGTATACTTACATCCACTTTATTTTCGGATTTGTGTCCTATAAAGTATGTTGATTATTTCTGCTCTTTGGTCTTTGTGTGGTCACTTGTGAATCAAACCAAAGTTATGGGAAAAGCTAGAGTAAGCCCACATGCTAGTTTCCCCAAAGAAGTTGTGTTAAATTACCTTCATGGTCAATGCTTCAGGCATGTACAAGAATAATCATCTTACCATCAATGAGATTACATTGGTTTATATTCTCATATTTCTATAATCATCATTTCATGGGGTTGATGATAAATATGAATGATCCATGCATGAGAAGCTGGATGTGAGTTGAAGAAACCAAGCCCTTGCGGTGTTCCAACTACCATCTACATAGGCTTCTGATGAATTATAATCAAAGTGTAGCCCTTCACTTAGCTCTCAGAAAAATTAGGACTTCTCTGGTAACAGGCTAGGGAGGTTGGTGGACAGTCTTGTTAGGATTTGTTGGAATAGACACAATTTTGGGAAGTTAATAATCCTTGTTCTTTTTAGCTGATAATCGGGATCCTAGGCTCTATTTATAGGCAAGAGTCAGATTTTGGATGTCAGGAAGAAACCTGCAGATGTCATTGCACATGCAGCCCATGAGATGCTACAACCATTATACAAAATCAGATTGAAGGCCAGGAAGGTGCAGATTTGGCCTTGTTTGCTTTGCTGGCAATTGTTCTGATCAGTATCACTCATAGCTCTGTTCTCTCAGTGACGCCAATTAACAGCATTTTTCATTTTCTTGAGAGATAAATAAAGTATTTCACATCGTTTGCTGATACGGTAACGATAACATCAGAAAATCCGTTACATTATCATTAATTTTTAGTTATCTGTAACGTTAACTGAGAAAGAGGCCTCAAATGTTTATTGAGACTTCTAGGAATTCCCATGAATAGCAGGGGTGACGGAGACGAGGGCTTGAACTTGATTGAAGACCAAGCAAAGCAATCTTTCTGCGGTGACGCAAGCGTATTGCCCATGAACTCCTACTACATCGCAACCTTGCTGAAACCATACCATTTTGGCCTGCAACTGGGGGTTATCGGCGTGCCGGCCGCCGTCGAAACGTATGCCCGGCAGATGAGATCATGATTCATGAATGCCCGGTTGGAGCGTGCTAAGGAGCTCTTCAGTTCTGCTCGGGTGTCAGGATACACCGACGGCTGGTGGAAACGCTCGGATTCAAAAGTTGCACGACTATGCCAGTTTATAGAGGGGACTCTTGGGAGCCCGTCACACTCCCTCACCGATCTTAACCAACCTACGTTCCCCCAGCTTCTAACTAAATATAGCTCTAGTAACAAGTTATCCACTCTTTTAAGCCTAAACGTACAACTCTAGCTCCATCTTTATATATTATAACTTCGTCTTTTTATATAGCTCCATCTTCATGTACGACATTTTCATGATATTCTAGTTATTTTCCTTGCCATTGGACCCGAGCCAATAGTATTAACTTGTCTAGTCGTTTCATCTAACAGAAGTTATATCCGTGTCCATCAATTCCTAATTTCTCAACGAAGTTGCATTCCCGCTTCAGCATCTTTTGCGTTCCTCCTGAGGTCGAAAAATACTTTTTTTCCCAGCACGGTGGGCCAGATCTGTTCAGATATCCGCCTCTTTAGCTCACCCACTCTCAGCAACAGCCCGTCCAGCATCTTGGCAATAGCATTCTCTTAGCCAAGACAAAGGCCGCCTCCAACGTGCCCTCAGCTCTGGTTCTACTAAGGTCATCAACGTGCTCCAGATTCTTGCACCTGGTATCACTTGGCGTACGCTCTTGCGGGAATCCAGCTGGAAAGCGTCTTACTTTCCGCTTGCCAAGACGACTTTTCTGTGTATATAAGGTCGCCCCCTCCAGCTCACTTAACCTCCAACGCAACTTACTTCCGATTGACATTCAGCTCGAAGCCCTCTTTTCTTAGACGGACCATTTCATTCACTTTAACATAGCAGTGTCTTTGCATTCAACACGATCTTTTTTTTTATATACATCCATCATCATGAGCGCTCCTTCACTCGCCGCACCAGGACAATTATTCGAGATCGAGATCCCGGTCGAATCTTCCGTCATTCCATCAGTCACTACTCCTCAATCTTGTGAAAAAAGCAAGGCGGGTTCGGACAGTCATTTCAAACGCTCGGTTCTATTTTTTGTTCCTGAAAGTGTCCAAGGAAAACAGAATGTGCCCCTCTTAATAGCCTTCCATGGCTCTACGGAAACTGGGCCCATCTTCCGCAATAGGACAACTGCAATGGGGTACGATAAATTGGCGGCCGAGTTGGGATTCATTGTAGCCTATCCTAGCGGCTATAAGGGAAACTGGAATGAGTGAGTTTTCCTGATTTGCGAGGATTTACTGTGAAAGTTTACTTCATACTATTTTTTTTTTTCAGCTCACGGAAAGCGGCGTCCTATCCGGCCAAGCTGGAGAACATAGACGACGTCGGCTTCACAAAGTCAATCATACAATACTCCTCCAAGGAATGGTCCACTTGTCCGCGACGCACGCTAATTGCGGGTTATTCCAACGGCGGTCACATGTGCTATCGTCTTGCACTCGAACTCGGTTCGGCCTACATTGCCGGAGTGGCTATACACTGTGCCAACCTCCCGACAGAAGATAATTCGGATTGCGCCACCCTGATTGGGGACGCTGTGCCCATTTGCATCGTTAATGGTACCGCCGGTGCGTATTTTTTTTTTCTTGGACAAATCTTTCTCGGTCTTGAATTAGAAAACCTCAGAGACTAAATGCTATAATCCTCTTTTGCAGACCCCGTCAATCCATGGGGTGGTGGTGAGGTTAGTCTTAGCCATGGACCCGTTGCCGGAGGGTCAGTTGGTTCGCGAGGGTCGCACCGAAGTGCTCTTGAAACTGCAGACTATTTCGCCGGAAGGTTCTTGGAGAAGGGCATCGAGCTTGAATTGGAACAAATTGAGGATATGGACGAGGTTCAAGATGTCCACCAGTTCCTCAACCCACGCACCGGGAGGGCCTTGGTCAAGTTGCTGGCGATGATCGGCGAAGGACACTACGTTCCGGTTGCTAGTGGTGAAAAGAAAGCCCTGGTCATCGGCCCTCGCCGAGGGGCGGTTCATGCACCCCGTGAAGGTACGTCTCTCAACCGCTCAGCTGTGTCGCTTAGGCTCTCATTTCTCATTTCTGATCATCCGTCCGTAGTGCTTCGCTTTTTCGTGGAAAACACCTCGTGCTTTGAGAGCTTGATGAACCCACTACATGTTTGAATACCCAGTGATCAGGGTCCAGAATCCAGATCCTCATACTCATTCGCATCAATGAACATTGTTTTCCTTTCATTCCCTCATCGACATTTTATTTTGTAAACTTCACTTCATTCCCGAGATAATTAGTTTATACATAGTCGTTAAACTACAGACACTAAAGCTAAAGAAGAAAAGGAAAAAAAAATGCACACTAGGATCAACTCATTAAGAGCCTTCAAGATGGATCTATGTATATAGGTACAGACAGCGCACATATTAACTATACCCTATAGTGGACACCAAGTTTTTACATTGCTAGAAGTAAACAATCTATAAACCTTTCACCATTTGCGTTGGGGTCCTATATCAAATGTGCGGGGGGCCTAGAAAGAGCGAGATGGCGCAGCTGGTAGCGCGCTGGGCTCATAGGGCTTCCCGCCTTCGTCACCCAGAGGTCGTCGGATCGAAACTGACTCTCGCTATTTTTGTCTGCATCATCGCCGATTGAACTTGTACTCTGCCCACCCATGTGGGCCCTGGGACTACACCACGGGGCGAGTTTTTTGAAACTGGCCCCATCCGCTGGACGCTTTCCTGAGGAGAGCGTCCAACGGATGCAATCAGAGCGTCCGAGGGACGCTCTGGCGAGCCAGCATCACTTGGATGCTTCCAAAAGCATCCAAGTGACGCTGGCCAAATATGAAGCGTCCAATGGACGCTAGGATTTATCGTCCATCGGACACTCTCCAACCAAGAGGGTCCGATGGGTGGTGGTTTTTAGTGTGTCCATTGGACACTTTGATTTAACATTTCCAATTGGAGCTGGTTCGATGGTCGAAAAAAGATCCAAAAGTTTGGTCAATGGTAGAAAAAAGCTCCAAAAAAGCGGTCGATCGTCGAAAAAGCACTCCAAAAGTGCAGTTGATCGTCGAAAAACACTCCAAAAGTGCAAGTGATGTGATTGTCAAAAAAATCTCTAAAAATGCACTTGATCATGAAAAAAGGCTGTGAAGTGGTGTACTCCGAAGTGCAAATTCGGTCTATGGACAACAATTGGGGTCCTCTTGCAAGAATGATTCTGTGTAGTGTAGTCAGTAAGGTCAAGCTTTGTGGATGTGCAGTAGCACCTGCATGAGGTCATGGGTTCAAATCTGGGTAAGCTCCTTTTTTTTCTTTCCATTGCAGAAGTAAAAAGCATCCATCGGACGGCTTGAAAACTATCCAGTGGACAGTTTTCCAGAAACCGTCCGCAAACTGTCAGGCAGAGTAGTGTCCAATGGACTAAGGCATCGTCCCGAACCTCGGGAATCCCGAACTGCCCCGGTCCCGGACCCCGAAGTTTGGGACTCGGGATGAGGTCAGAGGAGCCCCGAAACCCCGTGAATTTGTGGGGCGTCATATAGGCTTTGTTTCATGAAAAAAAAAAACGGAAAAAAACGAGCAAAACAAGAAGAAAAATCTAGAAAAAACAAGAAAAAATTAGAAAAATTAGAAAAAATTAGAAAAAAATTAGAAAAAAATTAGAAAAAATTAGAAAAAATAAGAAAAAATAAGAAAAAGACACGAAAAGAAACAAGATGAGGGTTCAGAACGGAATTCACGGGGCTTCGGGGCAGTCCCGGGATTCCCGGGGTCTGTGACTCGGGACAGCCTTCCAGCCCCGTCCCGAACCCCGGGACGATGCCTTACAATGGACACTCTCTGCCCTGCAAGTTCTGGACACCTCAGATGATGTCCAGAAGAGTGTCCATGGGACATCAGAATAGTCCCGTGGTGTAACTGCCTATCATTTGACCAGTGGCACTTTTTACTTTTTTTAAGACATGTTTGTGGATTAAGAGAATCTGGTTTGGGAACTCAGAAGACACTTCATGGGTTTCTTGCGGACTCACTGGGACATGTTGATGACACTTCACAAGCCAAAATGTGATTGAAGCACAATTGGCAATTTGAGAAGTCTTCCCAACTGATCTCTCTAGCAGAATATTCTCATCCTTTTGGGCCCTGAGCATCTGGGTACCCTGAAAGGTTTGCTCCTTGAGATGTAATGCTATGTGAAGCTGTGAATTTGCGCTTTCCACGATTTCAGACCAGTTGCCAAACATTTGGAAGGCTATCTTAACTGATCCAGAGGTTCAGTAAGACTTAAAAGCTCAAGTCAATTGACATCTTTGGATGTTTGATATGACAGCAGTCAGAAATCAAGGGGAGCAAGAACAAGATAAGGTTATTCAGGTGAGGATGTTGGATCGGATTGATGTTGTCAATAGGTGCACAAAAGTTTATCTATTGAGGAAGATGCAGAACAGTAACGATTGGTTAAAAATGTTAATAAACAAATAAAATGGAAAACAAAGGCTTCTCAGCTAATAAAACATATGAAAGAGAAAAATGATGCTTGAAATGTAAGTGAAAATGGATGCCCAAGTATCACAGACATAGAGCTTTGCAGTAATACAGCCATAGTAAGTCTAATCATACAATAAATTCACGCGTCAAAAGTACATTCTAAAGCAAAGAGGAAAGATACAAAACAAGTTTACAACAGCTACTGGCACAAACATGTATTGGTTAGCCCTTCAAGCCTCCACTTACTCAGTTTGGCTTGCATTTATGAATGGCAAATGTGACAAGAAATCAGTCATCACCAGCCTCCAATTTGGTCCCTAATAAAAAGAAGCCAACATGCAAGCATGGTTATAATCAACCGACGCGTCCTTTTTTCCCTTTTCTTCCACCGATCAACAAGGAGGGAAATGTCAGATGCTCATACCTATTGGAGGTTTGAATTTCTTTTTCGAATGGTCGTTGCGGACGTTTTCGGCATTCGAAGAAATGATCTTATCAATCTCACCCGAATCCTGCATGGAAATACGCACATATAAAAAAAGGATTAAGAGACTTCGGGAACCGGTTGGAGTTCTTTAGCGGCCAAAAAACACGAGAATGACTGACAAAGAAACCATAGCCAGAAGTCAGAAGCTCCTCGGTGTTTTGGGGCTCATCTTTCTCAGGAGGAAGAGGATGATCTGATTCGGGCGATTGATCCTTAAGGTGGGGCGAATGATCAACCTGGACCAACTTATCATTCCAGATGGCATTCCACTGGGATCCGTCGAGAGGCTTCGGGGGATGACGATGATTGGCGCTTGATTTCCGAGTAGAATCTTGCGGGTGATGACGATGAGGGCTTCGTTTAGTGATCGAGAGTGGGAAGCCCGGATACGGGTTTGGATCAGCAGAATTGGCTTCCGAGAGTAAGATCTTTCGGATCTCCAAGAAGTAAGCTCGCAAGCTTTCTAGGAACCGTCGGGTTTGAAGATGTTTCGAGGAAATCACAAAGGACAGTCCATCCTCCCTGATGATGTATCCGATCCCATATCCATCCGAGACCACCGGCCCGAATCCGAATAATCTCAGCGCTGGGTTTCCACAGTTTGAGGTGCTCAGGGTGGAGTGATTGAGTAAGCCATATCCACTGTCGCGAAAGATTTTAGGAAGTTTTTTGGGTGTTTTCTTCGGGTGAGGATCATCTAGTTCATCATTGCTGGAACTGCTAGAAGAAGCAGAAGAGTCTTGAAACAATTCTTGTTTGGCGAGACTGTACATGGCATATAGTATTCGATCCTGTCCTAACCCTTGTGAGCATTGTTTGCTTAAGTTTTGGTGATACTCACAAGCTTCTCGCAGTGCGGAAATCTTGGCTTGGTTATCAACGTCCGAGCAAAAGTTCTTGATGAATTTGATCGAAGAGTTTGATACGCTTCTGATCCCTTCGGTCCGACCATGCGAGAACGCCTTGGTCATCGCGGGCTCATAGGTCGACTCTATTCGTCCGTAAAGCGAGAAGTAGCATACCTGAAAGGCCATTTGTACAAACTAAGATAGTTCATTTCATCAAGCGAAAATAATTTCAGTCCAGTTTATATCCTGATAAAAGAAAAGCTCAGGGAAGAAAAAGAAGAACTGTAAAATATTACTGACCGCGTCTGGAGAGAGGTTTTGAGAGATGATGAAATTTTTGCCGTACTCTTCGAACTCAAGCGCCAACACTTCGTTTTGGCAAATCAAGTCAGACAACCTCGTCTCAGCGAAACGGATAGAAGCCTTGAGGGCATTGGACAACTGCCACTCGAGTTTCTTAGGAGTTTTATTGATATCCTCTCGAGGCAAATCAGCTTGATCGGATGAATTTGGCAAGTTTTTCATACCGGCGGGTTTGGCCCAAGGGGATGGCAGAGCCTTGAACAATGTCCGACTGTTGCTATTGATTGATTTAGCGAAACGGAGGATCAGTTCGGTGTATACATCGCCCACGAATCGCAATACGGTGTGACCATCGACGGCAGAGTGTTCGAAGTTGACGCCGGCCTGGCCATCGGCACAGACGATGATTTGCAATTTGTCGTACCACCGGTTCAGACACGTTCCGACCTGAACCCCTCGCCGGCCCAGCTCATAAGTCCCACAGAGCATCGTGGCACATATCGCATCGGCCGTCCGGGGGCTCGAGCCATCGAGACAGACTATGAAAAGTGCACTGTCAATCGCCTTCAGACATTCCTTGTTGGAACTGTTGGGATCATCGATCATTTCTTGACGAAGTCCGGCCCATGTCGGCCGTCGCTCCGTTGTCAATAGGCCGATCGAACTTTGGGCCACTTTGCTAATCGGCAACTTGTCAGCATCTTGGATGATTGTACATAAGTTGCTCCATAGTTCACGTTCCGATAAGACTGGGCGATGTTCTGAGTCCATAACCTTTAGATGGGATTTTCGAAAGATATGAATATCAGAGGGTGCTCAAAAAAAGAGAAACAAGAATTGGCTGTTGGGTAGAACACTGACGTCAAATGAGTAGAATTGACCTCTGCGCATAACTACGACATGTTTGCTGTCTCCGAACGTTTTCATTCGACAGCCCTCACGAGTTGGGATTCTTGCGGAGCCAAACAGTTTCATGTATTGATGCATGTCTAAGGGTTTTCCTCGCACATGATCAGGCTCAAGTTGACCGGTTCGCAAATCGTGAATAAACCCCACCGATGCCAATATCAGAGAGGCGGCACGGGTTAATTGGTTTCCGCGAGACGGTGTTGGATCATCCCTAGTTTAAACCACAAGCACCAGAAAGTTAGAACAACAACATGGACCGGTATCGCAAGAATCAAATGAGTTAAATGAAAAAGGGACTTTACTCGAGTATGAAGAATGGATTGAGACTCAGGACGACTGAATCGCTGTGTTGAAGGTAACTTTCGTACCAAAACTCTTCGATGTAACTAGCTCGTGTCGAAGCGTATTCTTGTAAACGTTCATGGAGCAATGGCCCCTCGTTCTTTAGGAAACGTTGGACGACCGATACGGTTTCTTGGTGCTCCTTTGGTGTCTGAAGCGGTTCCAAGACTTTGATATACCGAGCACAAGTATCTGTGATTGGAATTTGGGAGGGAAGGGGAGTACACCGCCAGCACTGGATAAGCAACCAGTCATCCAAGGAGGTCATGAGCAACTCACCTTCCAAGGGTGGGATCGGTAACTTGGGTAACACTCGATCGTTTGGTTTATCTGAGTCTTCCATGATGACCATTAGAGCACCTTCAAACTACGAATCGGTGGATTGCCACTATTTACAAATCACACTGCCTTCAGAGGAAGATGGATTTTTGCAGGTCGGTGTGGTTAAGATTCAAGTTTTCCTTGGAACTCGCCCATTTGGGTCTTCCATCTTCTTTCACACTGGTCCAGCCAGACTCAGGCTTGCTCGAGTCTTACATTTTTACAGACTACTCATGATGGTGAGGGAGAGGAAGCTCTGCACTTGTTGCTAGCTCACGGCCCTGATACATATTTTTGATTTGCGATCTTTCCTTCTCTGTCTATCAGTTCCTCAATTTGTTGATCAAATTACTACTCAAAGATTCTAGCTCTAATATTCAAAGCTTCAAAGAACAATCCCCACACAACCTCTCAACTAGATAGCCACTTCCCATGCAATAAAAAATCACAAAACTGCCACTAGTTGACATGTGAGATGCTCTAGCCCACACTGCCAAAAAAAGGTCTTCCTGTCACCATTTTTGGTGGTTTTTAAGCCCCTCAAGTCTTATATTCACACCACAATCCAAATCAAAACCAGCTCACATGGGAGCCATCACCACAAATTTTCTTGGAAAATATGTTTTTGACCCAAAATTAATTAGATCTACATAGATGGTGTAAATTGAATTCTGGGAGGGTCCTCAATTGCAGCAGGAAGTCATCCAATAGGCCAGGTCACAAATAAGGTTTGTGTGACAAGCAAGGCTTAACGACATCTTGCTCAAGTTTTGGTGAAGTCCCATGCACAACATAACTCAAAAAAGTTGAAGTAACACACAGTGTGACTGTTCACAATTGTCAATAAAAACACCCTACATGAACTGGGCTGATAAATATTTTGCCCCAGATAGAAAGAGGATTTTGGGTGGGTAGAAATTGCAAAGAAAATACAAATGCCTCAATTAAGCTAAGATGAATTTTGGAATATTTGAGGCATTTTTGTTTCCTTGGATAAAATATAGGGGCTTGGCTAATCAACTGATAGGGCAACATATATCTTCCTTGAAGGACCTCTCCGAGTGACATGGGAGAGGTCCTTCAAGGATGGTGTACAACCATTTGTCAACATCTCCAAGTCCAACCTGCAAAACATGTGGATGTTTGCCCGCACACCCTCAAAACAATCAAAGTTCAACTTCAAAAAAACATTAATCACTTCTCAATCACCACAACAAGGCACAATTGGCAAGGTTAGGGTTAGGGGTTAGGGATAGGGTTAGGGATAGGTGTTAGGGATAGGGTAACGGATAGGTGTTAGGGAATGCAAAGTTTGAGATGTCACAAAATAGCTGTACACCATCCTTGAAGGTCCTCTCCCATGTAGCTCGGAGAGGTCCTTCAAGGACCGTATATGTTGTTGAAATTATGTCTTTTTCTTCTCCTCATTCCTAAAAATCTATTTCTCACCATTTTTTTATCTCAGTAATTTTACATGAACTGGGCTGATAAATATTTTGCCCCAGATAGAAAGAGGATTTTGGGTGGGTAGAAATTGCAAAGAAAATACAAATGCCTCAATTAAGCTAAGATGAATTTTGGAATATTTGAGGCATTTTTGTTTCCTTGGATAAAATATAGGGGCTTGGCTAATCAACTGATAGGGCAACATATATCTTCCTTGAAGGACCTCTCCGAGTGACATGGGAGAGGTCCTTCAAGGATGGTGTACAACCATTTGTCAACATCTCCAAGTCCAACCTGCAAAACATGTGGATGTTTGCCCGCACACCCTCAAAACAATCAAAGTTCAACTTCAAAAAAACATTAATCACTTCTCAATCACCACAACAAGGCACAATTGGCAAGGTTAGGGTTAGGGGTTAGGGATAGGTTCCGATGGACGAGGTACGTGTACCTCGTCCAGCGGAAGGAAACCCTTCCGCTGGACTGTAAACCGCTCGCCGGGAGGGGTTCCTCCCGGCGGTGTGACCTCGGCCTAGAGAGGCCGAGGGGGAAAAAAAAAGAAAGAAAAAAAAAGAGAAAAAAAAAAAAAAGAACAATGGGGCCGTCCCATAGGACCCATGCCTGGGTCCTATGGGACGGCCCAGGTCCTAAACGCATATAAATATGCGTTTAGGACCTAAGGTTGGGCGTGCACGCAGGCACGCCAACCTGCAGGGTATACCCCTGCAGGCAGATGGCTTGCCTGCCTGCACGCCATTCTGCAATGGCGTGCAGGCGCGCACGCCAATCTGCAGCTGGCGTGCAGATTGGCGTGCGCGTGGGGGGTTGGCTTGCGGTTATCAACCCCCGGTTGACAAGATAAAATTTCCTTCAAGTGGAGTGGCTATTGTCTGCTTCTCTGGAAGGTCTAGCTCGGCTTCCACTTCCAAAGGAATCAATGAGATTTCTGAAGACGGAGGAGTAGGGGAGTTTGGTAGGAGTCCACTCAGGGAAGCAAATCAGGCTTTTGTTGCGCTTTACCTTCTGTTTCTTTTTCCTTTTATGTTTGCTGGTTTCAGACAGACTTGGCGTAGCTATCAAAGTCCACTCGGTCGACGAAATGAAATTGCCGTCTCTGGGAAGAGCTAGGTTCTGTTTTTCTGGTAAATCAAAGTCGGCTTCTACTTCTGACGGGATTGACAATAAGTCCGACAAAGTAGGAGGAGAATTTGGCAATGTGTAGGGTGTCACACGTCTGCTGGTCTTCACTTCGCGGATAAAGGGAGGCAGGTTTGACAGAGAGATTGAAAAGATTATCAGATTTTAATGGATTGAAATGACAGATATGAGACGGAAGGTACCGATTCTAAGTTCAAGGAGAATGATATGTACAACTGGCTTTTGCTTGAAAGCAGATTTTGCAATGGTTCAGTGGTACTAGAGATCTCTACGTTCATAACAGAAAGTAATCATAGAGGTTCTGCTACAAGTTTTGAGCTTTCAAAACTAATTTAAGACTTTCAAAAGTAGCTATTAGTGAGGTCAAGACTGGATGCGATACAGTGGGATCGAGACAATGAGATTACCGTCACAAGGAACAGCTAACAATTGTTTATTCCAGAGATCCAGGTTGAGTAGGATCCAATGGGATTGTTAACAGCAGCAATTAAAGGGGCCCACTCGGTAGCGCTGATGAGGCTTCCGTTAGGAGGAGTAGCTAAGATCTTTTTTCTTTAGTAGATCTAGGTTGATGATGACTTCTGAAAGAAACAAATATGGATCCCAAGAAAGATGAGGAAGAGACTTCGGTCGCCACGCTAATATCACTTGGTGAATAATGGATTGTAGGTGGTTTAAAATCAATTGGCGAGGGAAAATAAACGAAGTTTGGTTATTTATACATAGACTTTTTTTTTATTTTTTGATTGAGATGATAAGCGAGTAAATCAATATGATTAATCATTGATCCTTCAAGAGGAGTAGATAGCTAAAAAATTTTGCGAGCGCTCCGCGATGGAAATTTGCAAGAAAAAGGAGGATAAGTTCGCTGAGAGTTTTTTTCTTTTTTTTTCTTTTGTTCCAACGGTATTAGAATGAAATGAAACTTCGGTCTTGGGGAGGAGCTAAAGTCTAGGAGATGGGGTAGGTGGGGTATCGGGTATGAGTCTTTGGCTCCTCTTCACTTAGCAAGATTGTGATAGAACAATGAAAAGAAATCAAAGTTCATAGGGAGTAGATCAAATTCTTGATAGTATTCTAAAATACTAGTTGTGTGGTATGTTTGATATAAGAAAAACAGAGTGGAGAAGCGCTGCACAATAAAATTTTTCAAGCGCTCCGCGATGGGATTTTGAAGATAAAAAAGGGAATTGTTTTTTTTAAGGATCAGAGATTCAGATTCTGAAGTAGTTCAAATGAAGTTTTTACTTTTATTTTTATTTTATTAATGGCCTGATGAATTAAGTTTGAAATTATGATTATGAGAGGTCTTTGGAATAGACATTTCCCGATGAGGCCCCCAATTGTGATCCTGGGTCTCTATAGTAACAGCAGGACACAAGGTATGGGGGGCACTTTTATATGTATTTCTTATGAGAAGAGGGATACAAATAAAAGTAAGAGAAAGGGAGAAGAAGAGTGATAGAAATAAATGATATTTTTGTTCTTTATTTATTTTAAGAAGATGATTAAAGTTCTGGCAGTCTTACTGTCTCTGTTTAGATGGCTGCTGACAGTCTTACTTTCCTTAGTAGGATAGCTGTTATAAGCGGAGCTAACTCTGACGCCTCCAAATCAACAGAAACTGAAATGGGTTATTGATACTGATGAATCAGTTCAACCACAATTTTTTAGATCAGGGATGATCAAGGTTCTTTAAAGGGAAACCTATGTAGTTTTCAGTTTTACTACCAAACAATAAAAGAGAAGAATCTTTGAAGCTATTGGAGCTTTGGTTGATCAGGGCTTTTGGTTTAGAGAAGGAAGAGAAAGAGGTGAGAGTGACAGAGAAAGAAAACAGGCAGAAAGATGCTAGCTAAACTTATGAGAAGTTACTTACTAATGACACCAATGACACTGTGTAGTGGGAAAGGCAGGAAAAGTAAGGTACTTCTGTTTGATAAGTGTTTGCTTGATCTGGTTCTGGTTGTTGTGGTTCTGTGTTGGTCTGGAGTCTGAAAATCCTCTGGAAGCGGAATCAACAAGCTCAGAGAGGATTTTCAAAGTTGGATTATGTAATCTGGCATGTACATGTGGTAGAGGGAGCTGAAACCTAAAGGCTGGAATAATTCTTTGAGGACTGTGAATTATTACAAAGTCAATGAAGGGATGGAGTTGAGTAGAAGTGATCAGTGGTGACTAGGGTTAATTTTACACCAGAAATCCATTTCTGAAGTCAGAAAGGTTAAAAGTCTTGAGACAAAAAAGATAAGATAACATTTGGAATAGAAATGGGCAGTTTTGGCTAGAGATGGGCGGGGATAATCCGCCGCGGATATCCGCTATCCCCTGGCGGATACCCGCTAGGGCCAGCGGATACCCGCCAGCGGGTGCGGATTCGGCTGCGGCTGAAAATGTGAGCGGATATCCGCATCCGAACGGATATCCGGATGCGGAGCGCCCATCTCTAGTTTTGGCAGTCTTTTGGCCAGCTTGGCTGGCTCTAAGGCTGACATGACTGAACAGGTGATCATACA